GGAGGCACCGAGAGGAAAAAAGGCAAAAAAAAGTCGGGGGAAGACATGGTCAGAAAGAGGCAGGTGGACGTGTGTCACATAGAGTGTTGTCTGGGGAATGACAGAGCAAATTCCTCAATCTTACCATGTTGCTGCTGTTGGCACACACCTGTGGAACGCCACTGCCAGCATGCGTGCTTCAGGTCGTGCAGAGTAGATGCTTCACTCAGCACCGTTTTCCAAAGGCATCTCCACTGCAGAGAGCTTGCCTGTCAATGAGACTTTGCTCAGTTTGCATTTTTAAGGTGATATATTCATGTTTTCTAACAGAAAGCTGGTTTTGCAAAGGTGACAAGACAGAAAAGAAACGCTAGAGGCCAGCCTATGAGAAAGCATCACTGGCTAAAAATGTCCTAAGGAGGCAGACCAATGGAAATTCCTGCTCTATAAGCTTAAATAACAGAAGTAATGATCAAATAGTTTCTTGCATGAAACCACAATCTTGAGTTATATCCTAAAATTTTTCTTTGTTAAGTCAGACCTGAACCTTAGTGGCACGCTCCTTGACAAAAATACAAAAGAATATACTGCCCTGGCTGTAGAATTAACATATTTTAGGGGAATGAGATGTTCCCCAGGGCAGCACTCCCTGTCTTGTGTGTTCCATCCCTGAGCACGGATGTGCTCCCTACATCGGTGGCCAGAAGAAGTCTCCTTGGGTCTTCCCAGTTAATGGTGGCCTCATGCCCTCCCTTCCAGCAATGGCATCAAGTAGGTGGCCAGACTAACTTTCCCTCAATTTCTCCACTACCAAAAACCTCGCTATGGAAAATCGCAACATGAAAGTCCGGATCAGGCACATACATAGCATATACATAGCGTACGTACGTGATACGTCTCTGAGAACGGCAGCTGCCTTTTCCCCCTTCCGTCTGGCAGGGTGCATGTGTCCTACTCACCGGGTGTCTTAGGCAGCCAGCAAACCAGCCATTTTGGGGAGAAGACAATAGTGCATTCGTAGTTAGATACTGAATGATGCATAAATATTTTTAAGAACAGGATGTGGTATCAGCAGATACATAGTTTAATGTTTAACAGAAACACTGAAGAACAAAACATCTGTATTTTTTTTTTTTAAAGCTGTTACCGTCTCTTAAAATTCTGTTAATATCTCTTCAGCTTTTGATGAGCGTGATTGGAAACAGCTGTGTCTTAAACTGTTTCAACATCAAATGGGAATGGTCTTGAAAAGGAAAGATTTCTTTGTGTACAAATAAAAGAACAGCGATTTAGCCAGATTCAGATTTTGAAATGTTTTTGTTGAGTCATTACATATCTGGTCCTGAAAAAGAGACTGGTAATTATGCAGCGTGATTAAAATGTAATTCTTAACACAGTCTTGGAAGGCAAATCGGTGTGACGTTTGAGACTGCATCAGTATGAGAGAGAGCAAAGCAGACCTGCTACCAAAGCATTAATTTCTCTAATTCTCCCCGCTGATAGTGGTCTCATCACACTGAACCTGGACACTATTTATGTTCTTAAAGGAATTTAGATATAACAGGGTGTGAAGATGTTGTAAACCCCAGTGAGCAGTGAATAGTATAAATAATATGGCTCTTAAAATCACTGCCGAGGGAATTTAGAGAGCGCCTTTATTTATATTTTAAAGAGAGAAAATAGCCCAAGGATGCAGTAAACGCCTACCATTTCCCTGTACAACATTTGGGTACTTTTAAATGTGCTCAGTATTGGATTTTAGTATCTAACTCAAACAGCTTTCCCTTTCTACTGCTAATTCAGTAGAATTTAGGTATTTGGGGAACTTTTTTTTCCCCTGTGTTGTTAAGCATCTCTGCTGGCTAGGAGCGTGTCATAAATGTGAGTGAAGTCTGACTCCTTCACCTGGGGGTGCGAGGCATAGAGAGCAGCGAAAGCCGTCTCAGCAGTGGTGGTGTAACTATGTCGCTTTAAGAACCACCCCTTTCTGGGTCAGCGAGGGGCCCGCCCGGCAATTTCAACAGAAATTGAGTACAGAACAGGTTTCGTGTGCAAGAAAGCATTTATGATATACTAAGTAAATGTCAAAAATGCTAGAGGTCAGAAGCCAGCTGTCACGAGCGGGAGAAGTTAACGTCTTATTCATGGGTACGCTTTAAGTGAACCCCTACTTAGTTTATCAATAGTAACGTAGGATGCGCTGGTGTGTACGTGACTGTCAGGACTTACAATGGTTTGCCATTTTGGTATTAATTCAGTTTACTTCAGCTGCCCTAATATCAACAGCATGACTTAAAATCTTCCCCAGGGACAAAGATTGGATGTAGTTTGCATATTATACAACTACTTACTGGAAGAAAAAACAGAAAGTTGTACAGAGTTCATTTGTTACACTATTACTATCTTTGGGTTTATAAAATATGGCCTAAACGGCATGTTCTCTCTTTTCCTGCTTCCATCATCACAAACTTGCATAGGAACGGTAGCTGCATGGAGGAATCCTCTGCTTCCCGGAAATCAGTAAACGTGTATGTAAATATATGGCTGAAATGGAAATTTCAGGAGGTCCAGTATAGAGGTTTGGTCATTCATATACATACACACACACATATGGCTCTCTGTTTGTATCTTAGTACATGAATATGCACACATATATATATATGTATCAGGGTACATATGTGTGTATGTATATATACATGTATGCAAGATGCACAAATAGCACTTCTTTGCAAACATATACCTAAACTTAATTTATGTATCAGAATTTGACCACTGAACATCTATGTATACATTGAGAAATATGTAACTGATTTTGCTTTTCCATCTTTGTATTTTTACTATATTTTCACTTTACTATTTTTCACTATATAAACACATCAAGGTGCCAGAGTACTTTGAAGCCAAAAACGGTATGCCAGAAAACATGGAAGTTTTCAGAGAATTTTGCATCATTGAATTTGATGCAGAGTGAGTATCTTTAACTGCTTTTGGGGGGCCAGGGGTGGGAAGATGCCTGGCTCCGGAGGCCAGGTGGGATGAGAGAGCTACATCTTCGAAGAGCACAAACCCCACCTTGTGGTAGGTTTGATGGCCAAAGTCTAGAAAACCAGCACTTCTAAAGCGCAATCTCAGTTGTGTGACAGGACTGTGAAATCTAGAAACAAAGATTTAGGTTGATACAGTTTTCTTCGGGAAAGTAAGAAAAAACAGAGAAAAATGTACTATAAATGTTTCTACAACTTTTTGCTACTCATCAGCTGATGAAAGCCTTCCAGTAATAAAACTCCCTTACACTTTTATCATAAGGACTGTGAAAGTGTTAAAAAAAAACCAATTATAAATTAATACGCATGTACCTGTAACTTGTTTTATTTGTTTAATTTTTTTTTTTATTACCAAGGAAGACATGTAAAAAAGACATCTGAATGGATAAATATGCTCCTGCTGCTTCTTAAGTGAAGTGTATGGGCCAGATAAATGTACAAAATCCCTGAAACTGCTTTGATGTACAGCAGTTTAGAATCCATTACATAAACTTCTGTAGCATTAGATTTAAGGGCAATTCCCACTTTAAAGTAGTATTTTTCACTAAACTAGTTCACATTTTTAAAAAAGAAATTGTCCTTACAGTAACAATTTCTGTGATTGATCTCCCCTTAAAAAATGATTAAAGCTTATTTGAATTAATGAGGACACTATTTATTTCTCCTTTCCCACTTCTTTACTATTCACAACGGTATCCAAGTAGAACAGAAACCCCATGTGTATTCAGGAAAACAAGAAAATATGTAAATATAATGCACATTGGCGGAAAAAAACCCTCTCATGTAAGGTTCGTTGTAGAATGCAGGAGTAGCCCAAAGAAAAATAACAGAAACAGAAAGATCTTAATTAACTCTGGCAAAGGATGACCCAAGCACCCAGGTTTTTAGTACGATGCTTACCATAGCACAGAGGAGGCCCCGTGAAAGACTCTGGGCACCCACCATACTTATAGGGACAACGCGTTCAGCTGAATCAACTTCTAGGTCAACACCAACTCCAGACACTTCTGACTATGTTATATAAAATTTAAGCAACTCTGAAACTAGAAAAAACCAATAATCCAAAGGTGAACCATGGCCAAAGGCACATTAAAATATGTTTGTATTTCTGAAATTAAATACCATTTTCCTAGGTTTTCTACAAAGATCATCTGTCCCTTGTAAAGTATTCTGAAAAGTACTCAGTTTAGAAATAATTATTTTATATTTATGCTAGAGCTTGTCTATATTCATAAAAAACTAAGGATATTTTAGCAAGGGGCAAACACAGACCCTGGATCAGATTAATCGTGGTAAAGTTTCTATTTCTTATTCATCTGGACTAAATTTTCAGAAAGCAAGTTTCATTTAGAGGGAATGCTGGTAAGCGGAATAGTTCATTTGCCACTTCTGCTGCTTGGACTAATTAAAAACCCAAACATTCTGCTCATCCATACCAGTAATGGGATTCATTACTCCTGCTGCTCAGTCTGCATCTGAAGAAAAGCCAGGTTGCCTGAGAAAAACACTAATATTTACCCCATAACGATCTGTTTGCCATTCCAATGTATTCCATAGTAACTCTGGTTACATTATTTTCCTGTCATAAAAGCTTCACTCGAGACTCATTAAGGTACGGATGTTCAAAGAATACAGGATTGGAATCCGACTGCACCAACAGTGAGGATTCTGTGAGGAGGGAGCCCGGTCAGCATACGCTGGTTTCAGCAGGCGT